TTAGCCAGTGACATTTGTTTTATTTGTTTTTGACTGTCAACTGCATAAACTGGGAATTGAGTTATTACATAATACAATACAAGGAAACAATACACAAAAAAACACATTTCCTTCCAGCATAAATTCAAAGTCAGGGCCAGTAAAATTACACTGCATTTTGCATTAATGTGCCAAAATCACGAGATTCTTTTACCAATGATGTTACACATGATAATATGTTGTACTTTACCTGTTTTTGAATCGCAGAACATATGGTTCTCTGGCAAAAGCATCTTCATCTCCAGACTGATTGTCTTTGTATTGGTAAGACCCAACCAAATCCACCAGGTCGTCCCTTTATATTTAAAACAGACCATGTAGTTAAGAAAAGAAAACAACAACAACCTGAAGGGTTAGTCTTTTAATATTTAAACCTTTATTTCCCCTGAGGTCCACCTGTAATGTTTGCACAAAGTTTTTGTGCTAATACAGTAATACATTTGTTTTTATGACCTTTTATCACCCTCTGTCTGATCTTTAGAATTCCAGCCTGTTTTATGTTTTTATTGTCACTGTGCCTTTAGACTATGTAAGCAATGCTCAAAGTGAATGGGCAGGGCGAGTTTTTAAATTTAGAATTAGAGCCATTGACAAATGTATTTATTTATCAGACATCAGAAATTGGCAGACATATAGACACTATTCCGTGTAGCGCCATATCCCCATATTTAATTTTTGACAGGAATGAGACTGAAGTACAGTGCGGTCTTGTACTTTTTAACAACGTATCAATTGTTCAGCCGATGAAACATATTTTCAAAAATGTTTAGTAGACAAAAACACCATAAAACAAAGCGAGTTGTGAAAATTACATGTGATCTACTTTTATAAGGGAGAGTGGGGTAAGTCGAGCCAGTTGGTAAGTTGGCCCACCCCCTGTAACTTGGCAACTGTACAGTTTTACTGTCATGTGACCATGTATTTTGGAACCACCCATCAGTTCTGCCAGACTGTAAAAAAAGGAGAAACATTTGAAGTAAAAACAAAACTCTTTTTGGCTTGTCAAAGTAAAATTTTAGCATAACAGATGTAATGGCTGTTACATCAAAGCAAATTTATCCAGGTCTAAAAATATTTATGATGTATATAGGTGATTTAGCTACATGAAATCATTTAGTTAAATATTAGCCTGAATTAGTAAGCTAGCTAGTTTTTTTTTTTTTTTTTTTTAAATGGCAGCTGTGGGGTAAATTGAGCCAGCATTTTAACTTACCCCACCATAAAGCACTGAAATTAAGTTAAATCTCTTAAGTATAAACTGGTATGACACTGGTTGACACTTTGGTGTTCAACATATTGTTTCAGAAATGCAAACAAAGATTAAAAATTAAACTTCATTTGGTTCTCTTTATGTTAAGTTAACTCTAAGAAACGAAATATGACTGTAAAAGGAAATTTGTTTTTAAAGGGGGTAAATTATCTTTACAATTTCACAAGGTCAGTTTACACCCAGATGGTGCATCTTACCCACTGACTTGGATCAACTTACCCCTAACCTGGGGCAAAGTGAGCCACAGTTACACTTTTTTTATAAGAAGCCATATTTTTAGAACCCTTTGTCAAGGACACAGTCTAATAATTTAAAATGATAGGAAATATCCTGAAATTACTTTAGATATTTTCATTGTACGTCTGCCTCATTTTCCTTATCTTGAGGACCACAAAAGTAAAAAGCGGCTTATCTTACCCCACGCGCTCCTACAATGCGTGCCAGCCAACACCCAGCTAGCAATTTGGTTCCCAGAGCGTTCTGGGAACATTAGTTTCTGGTTATAAAAATAAAACCTCCAAACAACTGTAAGGATTAAAGAAACTCAGATACTTTGATCTCCTGAGAAACAGACAATACAAACATACACGGGCATCTTCGAGACACCCCACAGAGTGGAGGTGCAGGAAACGCCTCTCTCACATATGCATTCCTTCTCATCCCCTTCCTTCCCCTTACCCATCCTCCCTCCACTTGATTCACTCAGAATGGTCAATAGTATAATGTTCTACATCAATGCAAATAATATTTACAGTCATGTTTGGTATCATTTGAATAGTCTCGGGGTGAGTGGTACAATGGTCTCAATCTTAAGATAATACCGATCCTAAGAGTTAAGAGATATTTTGATTACTGTAGCGGGTCATTCCATGCAAATTACCTTCTGTTCCCATTCAGAACTACTATTTAAAGAATGGTAAGCATGGGCGACCTATTAAATAGTATTAGTCATAACCTCTGGCTAATGATCAGACTGGCGAGTTTGTGATCGTGGGGCCCACGTAGAGCGGCCGCCGTGAGGCACCCTGAGCGACATAGATTCCTAATGAACGAGTAAATATAAAGTAAAGAGTTAACTAGAATAACCAAATGTCAGAATAATAGCAATAATTAGAGACAGACAAACAACCAATTTGCCTTTCAACCTAAATTCGAGGTCATACTAAAATGGAGTCAGATTAGAACTGAACTTAAAATTGAATAATTTAGCGTGCTGAAAAGACCGAACATGCAAGAAACCTTCATCCACCACTGGGTACCTTCCTTGGGCCAAGTGCGTGGACCTTACACAACCATTATGGAATGTTCTGTATAGGTTCCTTTTAAGTTATCGCAAAACACCTCCCTGCAGTGGTCTGTGAAGGTTCGTTTTTGGTTTCCAAAAGAATCTGCAGAGAACATTCTTATTCGGTTTCCAAATAATAACCAAACTGGAACCAGATGGGAATGTTAGGGAGTGTTGTGTGTTTGCTGCAGCCTCGTTTTCATCCATTAAAAATTCAAAGGCATCTACCCTGACTTAAAGTGTCTACTACATCTTCAAAATGACACAGTTACCTGTAAAGGAACATAAACTGTTCCTTGTAATTTCCTCTTCCCAGCCGTGTGCTGATCTCCAAGGTGTAATGATGCGTCTTGTTGAACCTGTTGATGGGCAGTCCGTCATGGTTACTTCTGTCATGTAATAACGGGGGTTTTCAAGTAAAAACACACCTGTTTGACTCACTTATTCAGCTCTTCGAGAAAATTATCCACCGAATCTCCGCTAGAATCCACAACTTCAAGAATAACGATGATGTCATAGCGTGACACTATCTGAAGAAAGGGAGCGACGAAAACACAAACCATTACCATCAGCGTCATCGTACCGTACAAGCTGCTACTCCCCAGAAGGATTATCAGACATTAAGATAAATCTCATGTAATAGACTCATTCAAAAGGAAGTTCACTGTCAAATGTGATGTTTCACATGTATTTACATGACTCTGGACTTTTTGTAGGTGTGGATGGGCCTCACCTTGATCAGGGTTTTCTGCACAAACGGATCTGAGAGTTTTGATTTCCCAAATTTCTGGATGTTGAAAGTGGTGACCTTCATGATGCCTGTTGAACATGAAAGAAACCAAAATAGTGATTTATAATGGCGCTTTCAATGAAACTAATGCTCGAAATGGCAATGCAAACCTACACGGAATGACAAATATAATAATAGAGCTAATTTCTGGCCATGCCTACTGCAGTCATGACGTTTACACATTCATGAATGACTTAAAGGGTTAGTTCACCCAAAAATGAAAATTAGGCTGCGTTTTACTCACCCCCGAGGCATCCTAGGTGTATATGACTTTCTTCTTTCAGACGAATCCAGTCGGAGTTATATAAAAAATTGTCTTTGATCTTTCAAGCTCTATCATTGCAGTCAGCGGGTGTTGCAGTGCTTCAGCCCAAAAGAACTTAAATAAAAATCGCCCATCCATAATAAAAAAGTGTCTCACACGGCTCCGGGGTGGTGAACAAAGGCCTCCTGTAGCGAATCGATGCGTTTTTGTAAGAAAAATATCCATATTCAAAACGTAATAATCACTTTAATGTAGCTTGCGCCA